CCCCCCCCCCCGGGCTGTAGAGGCGACATCCTGGTCCTGGCTCCGGTTCTGCCTGGAGATATCTGTGGCCCAGTGTTAGAGACAGCAAGAGCATCCTTTTCGTTCGGTTCTCCTGGGGATTCACAAAGCATCCTCCACAGGGAGGGCCGGGGAACTGAGTTTTTCTGTAAAAAGGGCCAGAGGCCTTCACGTCTAGGTAAAGGAGTCTACAATGGGTGCGAGAACTTTAGTCTATTTGGAAGAGTAAGAGATACAATTTTGGAACACAGCTCTAACCTAGAAAAAAAAAAATCACAGACTCCAAGATTCTCTCCAGGAAAACCAAAAAGCAAATGCACTAGTGTAAGAACAAGCAACGTGTTTTGTTATTGTTTAATAACTATCATTATGCCCTTTTTATAGATGAGGCCCATGACTTCCCCAAGATGACAGACTTTCGTAAGCAACACAGGTAGTAGTTGATCTCTGCTTCTTTTATTCCAAATCCTGGGCTCTCCTTTGCTACTCCGAACTGCCTTTGGACATGACTTTGGTGTTATTTATAGTTTCTGCATTTATTGCTCTTCTCCTTCGTATTGGTGATTTTTTTAAAAGACTCCAGCCTGTTTTGATTGTACCAAAGGAAGACGGAGTAGAAAGGGAGTCTGCCTGGGTTCAAAACTGGCAGTGTCAGGAGGCATGAAGGAAAGGAGCCCAGGAAGGGAGACAGGAACCCGGAGGGCGAACAAGGGAGCCATTCAGAGAGCCGGAGCAGGGGAGGCCGCTGGGGAGGGAGGAGACAGAAAGAGGGGAGAAGAGACAGGCAGGCAGGGCCAGGAGGGAGAGGAGACAGAACTCGGGGACTGGGAGAGGAGAGTAGCTGCGATCAGCAGGGCCGGCGGTGGGTGGGACGCTGTGCTGAGCCTTTTCTCTCTTTTGGGGGTGGGCGGCGGATCTCCGCAGAGATAACCCAGCCAAACCCCCTGCCCCCGTCCCAGCGAGGGGCCGCAGCTGTATAAATACCGGGGCTGGGGGAGCCGGGCTGCTGCCCAGGGGTCAGCGACACCGGAGAAGGCTTTGCTGTCATTAGCTAATTGAGCCCCAGATGTTAAGAAAAGGTTACGTCCTCCTCCGGAGAGTTTTTCTTTTTAAACACTTTACATCGAATCCCGGGCCAAAATGTCCAGGAGGCGCCAGCCCAGCCCACCCCTCCGCTCCCGCCCCCGGTAATCCACGGGGCCTGCTCGGAGGCGCGGCGGCCGGAGCGCGGGGACCACCCCGGCGGAGCCAGCCCCCAGCCCGGGCCGCCGACTGGGAGGTCAGCCCGGGGGAGGGCGGCGGAGCGAGGGACCCCGGGGAGCGGGGCTCTCTGGCTCTTAATCCCCCTGAAGGTTGCAGATCAAAGGCGCTTGTACGAGGCCAGGCCGTGCTGGTGGGGCAGGGGGCGGCGGGGCCGAGGACCCGCGACGGCCAGCCCGGAGGGAGCTAGCTCCGCGAAAGTCGCCAGAGCGCCCCCGCGGGCCTTGGTGGAACTTGCCTCTCCCGGGGGCCGAGGGACGGGCGTAGGTCCCTGCCTCCCCTGGAGAACAAAACTCTCCGTGCCACACACTTGACATGTAGTCGCTCATTTAATCCTCCTGGCACTCTGAGGGTTTTTTTGGGTTTTTTTTTTGTTTTTCTGTTTTTTGGTACCGGGGATCGAACTCAGGACCTTGTGCTTTCAAGGAAGGCACCGGAACCACTGAGCTAAATCCCCCGCCCCTCTGAGGGTTTTTTTTAATCGTTATTGTTATTTGTTCATAAAGGAGATACCAGGCTTCTAAGAGGTGAAAGCCGCTTGCCCAAAGACACACTGCTAGGGTAGGAAAGGGCAGAGCCAGCCAGCCTGGAAACCGCTGGCTTCAAGGACCACAGTTTCTGCCTTTTCCCCCCGGGTCCCTCCACCCTACCGCTTCTCCCTTCTACTTCTGTCCTCCCAGCCTCCCCCCTCGGAACAAGAATGCAGCCACCCACCTGTGGCCCTGGCAAGCAGGGTAGGGAGGGGTGGGGTGGGGGGAAAGCCTGGTGCCAGGGGCGGAGCCAATGTGGCAAATAGCTACCGGCTGAATACGAAGGATGGGGCTGGGCAAGCATGTGCCTGGGTTGAATCTGAGCTGAAGGAATGTTCACACCCCCTCCCCAGAGGTGGGGCTCTCTGCTCAGAATAGAACCAAGCAAGCCGGAGCTGGAAGGGGCCTTCACCCTTACGGGAACCAACCCCGTCTGACAGATGTGGAAGATGACACCCAGACACTGAAGGAGCCCTGCCGCCACCACACAGCTAGACAGTGAGAGCAGCAGTGGGAGCCCAGCCCCTTACTGCTCAGATGATCGCATTGATCATCATCGCCATTGCACAAAAGAGGAAACTGAGGCTTGGAGAAGCGGAGTGGGCCCAAGGCTCCTCACCAAAAAGTGGTAGAGTTTGACCCCAGATCTTCTTGACTCTGAGAAACTTCCCTTTCTGTGCTCCTAGAATATGGGTCTAAGGTGCAGAGGCTGAGGGACTGACTGAGTAGTGTGAAGTGTCGTCCCCTGAACAGCTCTAGAGACGGAGGGGAGGGGACACGAGCTAGGACACATCCCATCCTGCGGCTCTAGGCATCAGCCCCTCTCTCCATGACTTCCCTGAAATGAACCAAACACGGAGGTTCTTCCAAAATTCCCTTTTGAGAGTTGGGGGCTGAGGGGATTGACTGGTGGCTCTTCTGGGCTGTGAGGGTCTAGAGATCCTGGAAAGGCCTGAATCCTCGGATTTCTTACCTGTAGGAGGCTGCAGTCCTGCTCTAGGCAGGGGAAGGGGCCCTTCCACTCAGCTTCTCCATCCCAGAGCCATACCTGGCTCGCTGGGGGACGCCAATGACGGCCCCCTCTGCCCCCGTTGTATGTGCTCTCCAAGCCCAGCTCCATACACAGACTCCAAAAGCTTGATGCTCAGACTCCCCCTTCCCAGCCTCCAGTCTCACCTCTTCTTAGCTCCCCCACTGACTCCATTTCACTCATCTACTCATAGATGCAAACTCTGCCAGGCACCTACATGTCAGTGCCATGCCAGGCACTGGAAAGCCTCAGAAAGCAGACTCCCCTTGGGGAGCATGCAGTCTGGGGGAAGCCAGAAGTAACCAAATGCATATGTAAATAAATTTGCAATCACACACTGTAAGGGTTATGCAGGGTAGCGCCAGGTGCTTTCACGAGTTCTAACAGTAAGAATGCTGTGTGTATGGGCTGATCATTGAGATACAGAGGCTAAAAATTACTAATACTGATAATTTCCCAAACAGAAGGCCAAAAGCGGGCTCTCACTGCCACAATGCCCACTCCCTGCTGTGGTGCCGGGTGGGTCTTCAGTCATCCCCTGGTGGGAAACCGCCCGGTCTGTCCCAGAAGGCCTATCTGATATGGATGGGAGAGGGGGAATCAGATGGTGACCCCATGCCAATAGTCCTCTCCACTACCCAGCAAGGGTAAGGGCGGGTGAAGAGGTTGAGAGAAAGGGTGTTCACCTAGGTAGCAGGCAGGGCTGAAGTTTGAGACCAGAAGAATTTGGGGTCAGGGATGGGAACCTGCTGTATGCCCAGCTGATGGGCGTTTAAGCCCCTGGCATCATCACTTCCAGAAAGAGTCTCACCCTGCTGTGCCCCCAAACCTGATCCTCCCGTGCACACTCACACTGACACATGTCCCTCCTTCCCTCTTTAGGGTAGGGCTGGGCCAGCCCCTGAGCAGAGTGGAGCCAAAGGGGCCCTGTCCAGTCTGGAGAGCAGACCTGAGCCTTGAGGTCAGACAGCCTCTAGCTCAAGTCCCACTTTAGCCCCCTCACGACCCAGGCAAGGCTCCTTCTCCTGAGCCTCCCTGTCCCCCTCTGTGCTTGGCCATCACATTAGCCATCCATCACCGTGCCTGGCAGTGAGCATGTGATGAGCTCATGGATGGGAAGCACTGAATATAGTACCTGGCCCGAGGTTTGCCATTAATAAGCAACGGCTGTCACTCTGATTATATAACACAATAATTAATATATAATGGTAATAAAGGAAACCTCACTCGTGGCCTCTGGGCTGCCACCTGGATGCTGGGACCCCTCTGGGAGGTCACTCCCGCGCTCGACCTCCCGTGAGAGGGAGTTTTACAGGTCTATGAAGTCAGGCAGCCCCCTAACCTCGTGAGGTCAAGGCAGGAGTCTGGGAGACCCCCATGCTCCCAGGGGTAGGGACAATGTCTCTCGGCTTCGAACCTAGGCCCCCTGAGCACAAGGTTGATGTCTGGGTAGGGTCTGATCCAACTCCACAGTTTGCACAGGCGGGAGGCCAGGGCTACAGAGGTCCTTCCCAGCCAGTGGGGCAAAGACACAGCCACCACTACGGCGGGCGGCTCGGCCGCTGCAGGGCACAGAGCACACCTGGAACCCATTAGGCCTGGCCAGGAGCTTGTTCTCTCTCAGCATAAATAGAGCGAGTGGAGGGTTTGTTTTGACTACTTTAAATTGTGCAGATTTTAGGGCCTGAGAATTGGAAGCCCCCAATTCCCTGATGGACAAACAGACCGAGAGAGCGAAGGCTGAGGCAGCAGGAGGAGTCCAGCCTGGTCTGGATTTCTTGGCATCTTCTCTGCCTTGCTGGGCCTCTGATGATGATCGTCACAGCCGCTCTTCATGGAGTGCGAGCTGCGAGCGTGGCATTCACTCGTGAGCCCTCTTGCCCCCGAAACTCTGCAAGGTAGACGTTTGAGTCACTGACCTTCACGTGAGAAGCAGTCGGACTTGCCCAAGGCCACTGGCTTGTAATCAGCAGGTCTGGATTCCACACTTGGCCTGTCTGATGCCACAGACAGTGGGGGTCTTTCTGGGGACCACCGAGGCTGCAAGGAGGGTGAAGGGGGAAGTCCAGTCACCTTCAGGAACTCAGGGTATCCAGAGCTGCAGTTGCTCAGAGCCTGACCCTGGCTGGGAGGATAGGAGTCTGAGCACCCGCACTGGGCTCCTCCCAAGTCCCCAGCCTCTGACCCCAACTGCCCCAGGCGGCCATGCTCCCCGGGACAGGGTCGGGTTGACCTTGGTAGGAGGGGGAGAGCCTGGGGCCAGGGCTGCTGCCAGAGCCTGGAGAAATGAAAGGGGACCTTGTCCTGTCCCACACAGGGCTCATTCTCAAAGCATCTCCAGCCACCCCAGCCCCAGTGGACCAAGGTCCTATCCCTCTGTGCCAACTATTCATAGACTCACGGAAGAGCATCCATCACGGAGAGCAGAGCCCTTAGAAGTCTCTGAGCCCAACCCCTAAGCCCAACCTCAGTTGTGGAAACTGAGGCCTGAGGACAGGGGCTCTTTAAGGCCACTCAGTGAGTGAATGGCAGAGCAGAGACTCAATCCCAGGCCTGAGCACTGGGAGAACCCTGGGCCTCACCCTGAGCAGGCAGCCCTGCCACCTCCTCCTCCAAGGAGATATCCGCAGCTGGGCTTCCTGACCCCTCCTCACCCCCACAAGGGGCCAGCAATAAATGCTGGTTGTGTATTCTCCACTTTGAACTTTTCAGCCATCTCAGCTGCCCAGCTTAGGGAAGGCTGCCTTGGCAGGTCACGAATGTCCAGTCTCTGGAGCGGGCAGCAGGGTCGGCACGTCCAACTGTCCAGGACCTCGAAAGGACCTTGCTGTCCGAGAAATGATATCTCTAGACATTCCCAGTTGACTGGGCTTCACAGCCCTGGGGTGAAGGTGAGGCCTGGTTAGCAGGGGCCCAGAAGGCCACAGAGCCACTGACCCATGCCTACACGGACCTTGTCCTGGGGGCTGGCACCTAGTGGACAAGACACATTTGGAAAGGGACAGTTTCGGACCCCACCAGCCAACCTCTTCCCCAGGCTCCTCACACTCCCTTCACCCCCGAGACCCTTTACCTTCAAATCACACCAGCTCTGCCCTGGACTAGAGCGGCTCAGCAAGGATGGGCCTCTGCTTCCATTGTCCCTGCAAGGAGCCCTGGGGCTGCAGGATATGAAGTCCCGGAGGCAGGCAAGGCCTCCCGGGAAAGAGCCCAGCGAGAGGTTTCCAGGAGGGTCCAGCCAGCCCCTTCCCTGCTCTGGCAGCCTGATGGGTTTGTTCGCAGTCAGGGGAGGGCCCTGGAGCAGCCTGGGCCAGTGCCTTCCCATCCCCGATCACCACATACACCTCCTAGGGTTCTCCATGAAGAAAGAGTCTGGGGCTGCAAGGCTTTCTCACCTCCCTAGCACCACTGGACTTGTGTGAATACTTGAGTATCAAAGGAAAGAGGTGCTCTTTGGAAGGCTGAGACCTGCAGATGCTCAAGGGTGGACACAAACAAATGGCAGCCTTCCACTGAGGTGGCGCAGGCACTGCACATTTACTGTCCCACCTCACTGCACAACAGCCCTGTCAGCGTGGCATCATGACCCTCAGCCTAAGACACACTCTGAGGACCTGAGAGGCCGCACCTGTCCACTGCCACGGGTGTTAAGTGGGGGAGACTAGACTGGGGTCCCACCAGCTCCAGAGTGGGGTCTTTTCCTCAGCCAGGCACTGGGAAGGACTGTTGTGTGGCATCTGAGGACGGAGGAGGGGTTGGGCCTCCGTAAGCTTGACTTCAGCCCCGCGCCCTCTGACGTCTGAGGAGACTGAGGCCTGGAGAGGTGAAATAACTGGTCTGAAGTCTCTTCCTCAAGGCTTAAGCCAGGCCAGAATTCGGGGCAGTAAAAGTGCTTGGACTGGCAGGCCCGGGGGGCCCTCCCCCACCCATCTGTCTCGGTCACCCCAGTTCCTCGGGTAGTTGTGAAGTTGTTTTCTCAGAACCTCCCCCGCCACACACACCTGTTATTTTAGGGGGCTGGACGCTGAGCCCTCTGAGCAGGATGCCTTTCCTCCCCTGCAATCCAAAGACGGTGCGCATGCCCCCTCCCCAGCCCCCCAGGGACCCCGCGTCTCTGGCTTTTGTCAGGCCTGAGACGCTGGTGGGACTGATTTATGAGGGGAGCCCCTACCCCCACTTCACCCCGAGCCCCCGGCCTCCTCCCTCTCCTCCTCTTCCTCTCCAGCTCCTCCCTGCCCCCAGCCTGACTGCCTGCTCAGTTTTCCACAGAGTCAGGATTTCCCTGGGGCTGGGGGCTCTAAGCCAAGAACAACACAGGACCGGTTCCCCCACCTCTCCTGCTCCTCCCACCCCCTCTAGCTCTCTCATTCCCCCCTCCGTTGAGAGGAGGGGTTGAAAGGATGACAGGAGAGGTCTAGGCCCAGCCCGGTCCCCAAGGAAGGGCCGAAAGCAAGGTCCCTCCCACCAGAAGCCCAGGCCACCACCCCTCATCCCTGAGAAGGGCCTTTCTTTGAGGCTCCCCTGGAAAGGGCGAAGGGGTCTTGAGAAACCCACATGGGGGGCAGAAGAAGACGGAGAGAACCCTGAGAGCTCACTGAAGCAGCCTGGGCTGTGTGGAGCATCATGAATGTGACTGAGACCCATGCTCTGAAGGGCAGGTTAGAGAAGACCCTGGGATCCACATGGAGGCGAATGCAGAGAGGGAAGATTCTAGAAGCTTCTATCATGGCAGGAACCCCTGAGACCCCCCCACACTGGAGGCGGTGGGGAGTAAGGTCTCTTCCAAATGGTCCGCAGGCTCAGGGATGAGTGGGAAGGGGATCCCATTCAGTCTCTGGCCCCTCTCCATGGGGTGGGACAGATTGTAGAAGCGGCTGTCATGGAACAAGGCAGAACCCCACCTGATCAGACAGTGTTGAGGTTCGGGATGCCAGAGACCCCCAGAGCCAGGGTGAGGGGAGGGGAGGCAGGATCCGTGTGTCCTGGCTTGGGTCTGAGGCCTGCTTCAGCTGGCCCTGAGACTTGGTTTTGGCCCTTGAGTCTAAAGGAGGAGCATGGGAAGGGTGGCCCAGGAAATGTTTCCTCTTTGAGAGGGGACCAGACACCCAGACCACAAAGAGCAGACAGACAGCACTTCTCCCTGGAAAGAGCTCCCTGGGGCTCTGCCTGTGGCTCCCAGCCAGCTGGACAGGAAGCTCCCGTTGGCCCAGGAGCCTACTGTCCTGCCTTTGCCGCTTCCCTCTTGGTCCAGCCCCTGGACGCCTTCCTGCCCGTCCATCACACAGGCCTTGGTCCTCTCCAGGCGGCACATGAACCCTCGTGACCCTGCCAAGGTCGCCTCTCTCACACAGCAGCTCCTTTGATAGGTCTCTGAGGGCCTTGGTTTTCCTCCATGCCTGAGCGGGGGAGAAGCACCCTCCAAAATGTCCAGGGCAGCACTGCCCCATGAGAGCCCCCAGATACCTTCCTGGTCAGGACAAGGAATAAGAACTCATTTTTAAGGCCTATTCCAAAGCCTCAGATTGTCAACCCTCCCCACCTGGCTGCCCAGCTGATTTCTCCCTTGTACCCCTTGATTTGCACAGAGCATGAGCCCTAACGTTTGAATGAATTATTCGTAAGATGGGGAGCTTCAGGGGCAATTGTAGAGCAGGAAGAGGGGCAGGATTGAAGCTGGCAGGGTCACAGCTGCGCAGCCCTGGAGGGTGACAGTAGTAGACTAAACTCTTCCCTCCAGGACAGGCCAGAGGAGTGGCTTCGCTCCTCTGTCACAGCAGGCAGCCCACAGGGTGACCAGAGGGGAAACAGGCATGGCTTCCCCTGTACCCATCACATCCCGGGCCTGGACTCACTTGGGCCATGCATTAGAGTCCCCTGTGACCCCTCCCTGCTTCAGCCAGGCCCGGCTTCCACTCCCCTTGTACCCTGGCCCCAGGCCAAATCTGCCCAATTTGTTCCGAGACAGGGTTCTGGTTTCATAGCCTCATTTGAATGATTTCCAACCAGAATTCCGGCCTCCTCGTTTGCAAAGCTCTGCCCTCCCTCCCCCAGCCTCCCTCCTGCTTTGGCCAAGACTGGTAAGGAAGGAGGAGAAATGAGCCTCTGAAAGATCCTGGCTGTCCTCCTTTCCCCTGGGCACTTCAGGCCTCCACACTGCCCTCCTCAGGCAACCCCAAAAGAGAGACAGACACTGCCAGGCTGGCAGCTCAGGTCTCTGACTCAGGCCTGAGAATGTGGGGGCTCGGGCTCTGCTGGCTGCCCCGCCAATGCCTCAGTTTCCCTACCTGTGGCAAGAGAAGATGATGTTCTAGAGCTGAGCCCACGCCTAGCTGTGTCTTCCGCAGAGTTTAACAGCCAAATTAGGCCCAATCACCATGCCCCTAGCCATCCTCCCCTAACCTTAACAGGTTCTCTGTTCCCCAGGAGCAGAAAAGCAATTTCAGGTATTGCAGGGTATCAAGAGGATGCTCCCTTACCGCAGCCAGACGTGTAGGAAAAAGTTGCAGGCAGCCCCCAGGTGCTGTTTCCTGCTTCCTAACACTTCTCACTGACAGGACAGACAGACCACTGGAGTTTCCATCCCACATCTATCCGGAGACTGGGTCCGACCCAGAGTCGGGCCCCCTGGGGTGGAGGTGCTATGCTGCAGGCTCTTTCCCAAGCAGATAGGCAAAAAAAAGTATCTCCCTTTCTTTGCACAAGAGGAGTAGGAGGTTCAGAGATATTTGGCAAATTGTCTAGGACCACACAGCAGGTCGAGAGCCCAGCCCCGGGATCCGCACGCCTGTGTGCCCACCATACTGCACTGGGTGTGTGCAGAGGAGCCCCTCAGCCTAGGCGGCTTGGCCCCCTCCCTCCTAGGGGCTGCAGAGCCACCATCTGCAAACCCCTCCCCTGGGAGGCCATCTGAGGCGGGTCCAACAATCTGTTCCACAGTTCAGGTGTGTCATTTCCTGAGCCCTCGGGTAGGGGCTGGGGTGGGTATGGCCCTATTGGCACTGGTTCAGCACCTTCGTTTCGCACATGCAGCGCTGGGGCTGCTGGCACGTGACTGCATGTGGAGCAGGAGTCCTGGCCCCGAGTCAAACAGAAAGTACCCAGTTCTCCAGGCCTCTCCCCTCCTCTTTCAGAGTCCTGTGGGATCCCTGTCCTCAAGACCCCCTCCTTAAGATGCCACTCTGGTTGGGATCAGACACCCTGGGTCCCAATCCAAGCTCTAATTCTTTCCAGACATGTGACCTTGGGTAAGTTACTTCCCTGAACCTCACTTTCTTTATCTGTTAAATGGGGAAATAAATGGGTCATCCTTGCAGGGTTGCTATGGGGATGAATCTACATAAGAAGTCTACTACAAGACACAGGCACGCCCGTCCCCTAGCTTGTGTTCAAGGCCAGTACAAGCCCAGTGGAAGAGAAGAAATTGCTCCCAGTTGAGTCAAAGCCCAGCTATTCAATATTGCAGATGTCTGTGAGATCCGAGACGAGTTTCCCAGCCTCTGCTCTTCTGTCTGAAAACATGTCAACATGATGGAGATGAAATGGGACAAGAGAGGTGAGAGCAAGCAGTGGGGGAGGTAAAAGGTACAAATCCCAGCTTCTGGAGTCCTGTCAGGCCACAGGCTCTGTGCTGAGGTCCAGCTGCATTAGAAGCCCGTTCCTGGGCGCGGGAGGAGCCCTCTCCCCCTCTTTCCTCCCAGGGCCATTCTGGGGTCTCCATGACTCATCCCCCACAACAAGCAGCTCCTTTTTGTTTAGCCCTGAGCTTGGTGCCCGCCTCCTGGCTCCTGGCCCAGGAAGGGAGGGTCCACTAGGGGAGGGGCTCCAAGTCTAGCTCCCACCCCATCTGCACCCTGACGTTACTTCCTCCTTCTCAGACGTTGGGAATCTGCAAAGGCTTGAGCCTGCAGAGGCAGAATGGGCTTCTCTAGAAGGGCCCCAAGAGGCTCTTGCTGGTGTCCAGAAACCACAGGGGCTCAACACCCTTGGTGTCATCATCCCCTTAAACCTACACTTCTTCTTTTTTTTTTTTTGTACCAGGGATAGAACTTGGGTCCTTGTGGTTGCAAGGCAGGCAGTGGAACCACTGAGCTAAATCCCCGGCCCCTACACTTCTTTCTAAACAGACACAGAGGTACCTTAGCTCATCTCCCCACTTTCCTCCTGCAGTGAAATCTTCAAATTTTATAGTTTGTTGAAAACATTTATACTTGTTTTGCATTATCTTGTTTGATTCTCTTAGTGAAATGTGAGGTGGATGTTACTAGGTCACTTCACAGGTGAGGAAAGGCTAAGTGAATTACCCAACTGGGTTAGTTAGACTATGGGGTGGGAATTGCCACCACCTCTACTCCAGGCTTCTACCTCAGCAAGTTCTGGTTCCTACCAGCCTGCCTGAGTGCTGCTTCCTGAAACTCCTCATTTACCTGGGAAGACATTCAGCTTTCCTGCCAGCCCAGCATAACACCCTTCCCCTCACAGTGTGCCCTTTCTGGAGTGCCTAGTGGTTTAATCTAATCACAACTGTGCCACCCTGACATCTGCTCAGGTTCTGGGGGTCCAGAATTAGGACTATGAGACAGACAGAGGAGCCCCCAAAATCACTACTTGCCTTTTTCCTAGGCTAGTTGTTTGAAAGTACTTTCCCCGGACATCAAGGTAGAAGAGCAAGAAAGGAATCAGGATGGCTGGAAACTATTGGTGTGTGTGTGTGTGTGTGTGTGTGTGTTAGAGACAGAAGGATAGAACAGGACAGATTCTATGTACCAATGTGAAAGAAATGGCTAAGAAAAAGAATAGATATACCTACAGGGGAAAGGGGAAAGAGTAGGGACTATAAATTTGTAGCTTTTCTTACTGTCTTTTACTGCCCTCGATACAGAAATTCGTTCTTTTAACCATCCAACTATCTAAAATGTCGTTTCATTCATCCACTCACACATCCATTCTTACTCATTCATCCAACCATTCATTCATCTAGCCATCCTGCCATCCAATCATGCATCCATTCATTCACTCTTTTATCTATACAACCATTGTCTATCCATTCATCCATCCTACCATTTACCAATTTTTCTATCCATCCATCCATCATCCATTCACTTACTCACCTATTTAACTATATTCTCATTTAGGTTTATGTACCCATTCATCCTTCTATGTACTCATTTGCCTGTTCCTTTCTCTACTTATATATTACTCTACCGATCCATCCAAGAATTATCTCACCCACATTCTTGCTTGCCTATACTTTCATTCATCTGCCCTTCATCCACCTATTCATTCATTCACACACCCCCTTGTCCACACACCTACTCATCATTCACTCATTCAACAATTCTTTATTCATACACTCACTTATTTTTCTATCCTTCTATCCATTTTTCATTTATCTTCTCATCTACCCATTTATTCTGCATCCATTCATCTACTTGTCTCTCTCTATATCAATACATACATATTTTATTCATACATACATCCAGATTCTGTATCTTCACATCCATCAATTCACTCATCTATGTTAAATAATTGGGGTGGATAAAGTTCTTGCCTGGTATGTGTGAGGCCCTGAGTCTAATCTCCAGTGAGAGAGAGAGAAAGAAATAATTGGTAAATTTCTTAGCACAGTGCCTGGCACAGAAAGTATTCAATGATGGTAACTGTAATTGCAGTATAGTTCTTACTCTAAAATTTTATTTGCCAAGCAGAATAGAGTGGGAGTAAAAACATCAGCTCTGAAGCTGGGCTACTTGGATTCAAATCTTGGCTCTGCTGGTTACTAGTTTTGTAACTGTCAACAAATGATTTACCTTTTTTTAGCTGAGCTTCCCCATTTATAAAATGGAAGTAATGAGAGTCCCTACCTCACCAGGTTGTTCTGAAGAGTAGATGGGTTACCAAATTCAAATGTTTATGCCTGGCACATAGTACATAGCCAGCACATCCTTATTATCATTCATCCATCCCACAGGCATTGCTAAGCCTGTCTTGCACTAGGTCCTGGCGCATCATCCTGCAGAAGATGGACTATAAAGACCCCGGCCTCCTTGAAGGAGCAGCCATCAAGGTAGAGAAGATAAACAGAAACATTTCCAATGCAATGCGGCAGAGACTCTCAGGGAGGCAGGAATGATGCATGCAGGAGCAGCCAAGAGACATCACGCCCACCTAGGCCTCTGCTCTTCTCTCTACAACCTTCCTGGGCAATCCTGGCCTTCATGCTATTCCTGATGACCCCAGGCCAGAGCCTGTGCCTCCTGAGCCCCAGATCCACATATACTTCCTGGGCATCTCTCTGTGGAAGCCTCAGACTGAACTCATGGTTTGTCTTCACACTTACTCCTCCTTCTCCTATACTTTCCATATCAATAAATGGCTCCAAAGTACGCCCAGCTGCCAACTCCCACATCACCCATGCTCAGGCATCTGCCACCTCTCCCCCTCACTAAGTGTGTTGCTACTTACCTCTCTAAGATCCCTCACACCTGTGCCCTCTACCACAGCTTCTCCTCACCCCCTCCCGACTAAGACCTTATTACCCTAAATCTAGACCAGGGCATCCTCCCCTGCCTTCCTGCTCCATTTCTGCATAATCCAGTCCATCCCCAAATGCCTCACTCCCCAAAGCACTATTCTCATGATGCCACTCTCCTCCAATCCATCGGTGCCACCTGGAATATCCCTTTTCCTCCACTGGCCTATAGGCTCCTTATCTCCATTGCCTGGGGCTCAGTGCCTGCCAGAGGCCTCAGTAGGAGTTTGTCAAGAGTACGCATTACTGCAGTAAAGCAGATGGTGAGCAACTCTGCTGAGAAGAGAAGAGGGTGAAGTTGGGTCCTGAGCAGTATAGAAAAATCTGCACCAGCTGCTGCGGTTGAATGCTACCGGAGGTCAGCAAACAAGGAAAGGACTGCTCAGAGAGGTCATGGTGGGAATGTGGGCCCAATCCAGGGGCAAGGAAAGAAGTATACCCTCATAGGCCTCCAGGTGGGGCGAAGAAGGGGCTTGGGGACCGCAGATTTTTGAAAGTGGAGGAAGGAAGAAGCAGTGGGAACCTGGGTTACCAGACTTGTGATCGTGGCTAAGTGATGGCCAGGATCCAAGTGCAGCCCAGAGTGCTGTCAGGAGGCCAACAGGGAATGAAGGAGGCGGTCACTGGAGTTAAGAGGTTAACACTTGGGTGTGAAAGCTCAGAGTCTGGAGCCAAGAATAATTTGGTCAGCCAGTGTTATGGTTGTGATTCAAAATGTCCCCCAAAAGGCTCCCTTGCTGCATTGAAGGCTTGGTTGTTAGTTGACGGGCTTTGGGGGAAGTGATTGGATCATGAGGCTGCTAACTTCATCAAGTAGATTAATCCATTGATGAGTTCATCAGCTGCAGGAGCTTATGAGAAGGTGGGGCCTAATTGGATGAAGCAGGTCACTAGGAACAAGAGTCTTGGAAGGGTGTACCTTGTCTCCCACCCCTTCCTCCTAGACGAAGGTTTCTCCCTGCTTCCTGGCTGCCGTGAGGAGAGCTGCTCTGCTCCACCATGCCCTGCGTGCTGAGCTGTTTCTACCTTACCTTACCCAGAGGCAATGGTGCCGGGTGACTATGGACTGGGACATACAAAACTGTGAGCCAAAGTAAATATTTCCTCCTGAAGTTGTTATTTTCTGTATTGTGTCATGGTGACAGAAAGCTCATTAACACATACAGGTACCAAGCCCCAGAAGGGGCCTGGGTGACTGGAGGCTCAGAAAGGATAAGGAAATGAGCACAGGAAGACTTTCACAGTAGAAGTGATTTTGAAAGTGAGTGGAGGGGATGTTTTCAGAACAGTGCTGGGCATGTGGGGAGGCATGGTGTCTGGGGAAAGCCAGCTCTAGTACCCCCAGATTCCTGCTGACACCGTCTTTCAGGCAAACACCACCTCTCCCACCGAGCCCCGGGTTTGGTGCCCAGAGAAGGGAGAGCAGCTTGGGGAGAGCTGTCTCTTGCCTCTCTCTTTCTCTGTATCAGGCCACCAAGTAGGGAAGGGGGTCTTCCCCAGCCCCCAGCAGTCAGAGGCAGGGCACCCACCTCTGAAATCACAGCACACCTCAGCCAGATCCTGAGTCTGTTTTCATTCCTGCTGCATGAGATGGGAATAATTAATGAGAAACAGAGGTGCAGGGAGCGGAAGGGGAGGCAGAGAGCCACTTGCCCTGGGTCCCCACCCCCAACCTAGAACTTATTCCACTCCTGGGCTGTGCCACTCACAAGTGCCACCAGCGCCTGGCTGCCCAGCTCCCTCTCCCTCTCCTAAAAAGGAAAGAACACATGTGCAGAGCCCACTCCTGTGGGTGGGTGTCACCTGAAGTGGCCCAGGAAGGACCTGGGTGTGCCGTCTGGGTGCAGCTTTTCAGGTCCCCCTGGGTCCCTTCCAGGCTTTCCTGATGTCGTGGGAAGAATAGAGAATTAAGTCTCCGTTAGGCTGGATCTGGTCTTGGCCTTTGCCAGTGATTGCCTCTTTGACCTCGGGCAAATCATTTCACCTCCGAGCTCTTCCGTAAAAAGAATAGAAAGCACAGTGTACTCCAAAACACATGTGGACAAACATGCCCTGCACGAGGGAAGAATCAGAGCAGAGGGCCAGGGAAGTGGCCGCATAGAGGGTGCCCAAGGAGCCCTGTGGACTTGAAGAACAGTGAGCACCAGATGCCCAAGACCAGTATTCTGGGCTGAGAGGAAATGGATGCCCCAGCTAGGGACAAATTGGGAAAGAGAGAGCTTGGTCAGTATCATAAGTCCATGAACCGGCTCCTTTCTCTCCTGCGAGCTGGTATGTGGTCTTCCAGCCTGCCCTGCTCCGCCCACCCCAGGGCCTGTGTGTATACTGCTCCCTACTCCCCTCTTGCTTACTCCAACACAGACTCCACGGCTTAATTCAAAAGTCACCTTCTCGGATACCTTCTACTGACAGCACTGCCAGCCTCCGTCCCTTCCTTACAGCAGCTGGTGCTGATCTAACTATAGCACTTACACCGAGGGGTTGTACATCAGTGTCGTCTGAGCTGTGCACACCTCCAGGGTGTGCGGGCTTTGGGTGGCCCATCCCTAAATCCTCACTGGCACTGGCTTATGAAGGACCCAATGAAGGGATGCCAAATCCATGAATGAGGGAGGGAGTGGAGGAACATATACATGTTCAGGGTCAGACATCAAAAGGTTAAGAGACCCTGATGGTAATGGGGGTCCCAGCTCCCTCTGCTGGGCATCAGATAACTGGTTCAAGAGCCCCAAGTCCTGCTCAAGATAGCTCAGGTCTCACAGCGATCAACTTTCCTGTAACATTTACCTTGACTTGTAATTATATGCAATTCTTTGAATGATGATTTGAATCACATCATGGTCCCCTATTATGCTTTACTCTCTTTGAAGCATGGCCTCATCTTGCTCATTGCAGTATCCCTTGTGCCCCATACAGTGCTTGGCACATAGTATATGTCCAGGAAATATTTGAAGAATGAGTGAATGAATGTTCATATTTGGCCCCTCAGCAACTTGCCCTTAATGAGCTTCTGGATTCTTGCTGCCTTTAAGCCACCCAGGCCCCAGCAACTCCATCCCAGGAACTGGGCCAGGCCTGGGCTTAGCCTGCGGCAATGTGCCTGGCATCCTCACCCACAGTGGAGCAGAGGGGCTATGTTTCTTTGCTCCTTTAGCTTCCTCATCCTCCTCCCTTCCAGAAGGAGCCCCTGACCTCTCCCTTCTAGAGATTTGGATAGGGCTGGTAGATTCCCTTCGGCTTGTTCAATTCCTGCTATATGCCAACCACTGTTTGGCTTTTTCCTCTCTGTTTCCATATTTTATTTAAATTTCATACTAATTTAAAAATAGCTCACATGTTTGAGCACTTACAACCATCCAGGGATATACTTTACGTGTTCGATCAATTGAAACAATCCCATGTGATAGAAATGATGACTGTACCTAGTTATAAATGAAGGCATTGAGACAGAGGGGTCAACCTGCCAAGGTCACAGGTGAGAAAGAACAGAGTTGGGCTTTGAACCCAGGGCTGCCTAGACTTACTGCACCACCCCAGTCACCCCAACTGCCCAGGTTCTAGTCCGGGGTCTGGCCACACAAGCAGATCTCAGGTGCACTGAGGGGAGGGAGAACAGTTCCTCCCCCAGCCTCAGCAGCCCCTCTCCACGGCTCCACTGCTGAAGCAGTAACTTGGGAGTTAAAATTTTCTCCCCCTCAACGTGTGTCGGTAACCAAGACTGAAGAGAGTAAACGCTCACCCACCCACCCCCATCACCGGGGGGAGCCAGACCCTTCCTAGGACGTCTTCTTCCTCTTCTCTACCCCTGGCCCCAACCCTCTTGCAACCTTGTTTCGGGGTCTGAACACATCCCCTGGGTCCCTTGAAGCGGACCCAGGTTGTCTGGGTTAGCTGCTCAGGCAGGAGTGCACTGGGGTGAGACGCCTTCCAGGAATGAGATGGATTCTCTCCTTCTTTGAGTCCTTTGCCCATCTTTTCTCAGTCGTGGGAAGCCATTAAGGGGCCTGAGTTGGAAGGTGGGGCGGAGGGGCAGGGTCCAAGGACAGGGGAACCTCATTCAAGGAGGGGTCTAGAGTAGCCGGTTCCCGTCTATTGTTCCCACTGCTAGTGGGCTGAGAGGGCCGCGCACGAGGGCAGGTGAGGTCATCTGCGGACCGAGGAGGCGGGTCTGTAAGCTGTGCTGCTTGGGCACCTCCGGCCTTGCCCCCGGGGCGGGGCGGCTTGCGGATCCAGTTGGGGGCGATGCCTTACCTATCCCAGGGGCTCCGCATTCTACCCAGACTCCCTCGACTACAGTCAGTGACCCCAGGAGCCGTGGGTCACGGGTCCCTGGCTCATCCCCGAGCCTCAGGAGCAGGAAGAGGACCCAGCTGCAGCTCCGGGCGCCACTCCTCTTTATCTAAGCCCGCCGCCAGGACGCGCCACTCAGCCCCGCACGCCCTCCCTCCCCCGCAGCCCACAACGCCTCTGCGTGGTTGACAGCTCGGGCGCCTCCGCCCAAAGAGGACCTCGGGTGCCCGGATCGATCCTCTCTGCCCTCGTGGGGACGAAGGCGACCTCGGGGGAGGGTCAGGAGACCCTCGGGAACCGAGACCCCAGACCTGGGCTTCGCTGCTGCAGGGTGACGCTGGGCTGGGGAGTGAGGTGGGGGTGCGACCCTGAGACCCAGGCGACTTCTGGAGCCTACACTGCCCCCTGCAACCGGGCCGAGGGCGGTTCGGGCGCCGGACCGAACCTGTAACCTTCTGATCCCTGCGCAGCCTCTATGGCTTTGTCCCCTGGGCCCGCAGTCTCAGCTCCCCACTTAGCATCACCTAGGAAGCTCTGTCCTGCGGCGCGGGCGAACCCCACGCCCACGTGGGGCAGTGTCTGTCCCTGCCTCCGCCTCCTGCGTCCTGACCTGTGATCCTCTAGCTTAGGTGGACAGGAATGGGGGAAACCTTTCCTTGCCTCAGTGCAGCTTCCAGTCCGAAGGATCCTCCTGATGCTGAGACGGCTGCACCTGCCCCGACCTTTCCGCCCCCGCCCCCTTCTCTTTTGACTTTCCAGAGACAGTTTTCCTCTCCTGCTTCTTGTTATTTATTCCCTGAACCTTTCAAGTGTGCTGGGGGGGGGGGGGCTGGGGCCAAATTACTTAACCTCTCTTTCCTCCTCTGCAAAAAAGGAGATAAAAACACTTCCTTCCCTGCTGGACAGCTGTGAGATTAAATAAGATCCAGGTATAAATGGGGCGTTTAGCCCAGTGCCTTAGCACTCAATGAAGAGTGGCCGTACTTCCGGATTCCCCTTGGACACCAGGGCTCGCTCCCCTGTCCCTTCTGGGGTCACAGGCCCTGGGAATTCACCAACCTCCTTGTTCTCCCACAGGGACAACAGGTGTGAGGGGCTCTGTAAAGCCCCAGATCTGGTCTCCCAGTGACACCAGGCAGCCAGGGATGGTGAACCTGGGGCTGGGGGGATCAAGGAATCTCACTTTGGGAAGAGAAACAAGAAAGGGCAAGAGAATCATCTTATTGCCTTTATTCCACTGCCGGCCCAGCTGTCCCCACTGCAGGGCACAGGGCCACTTTTTATACACTCACCCATGCTCTCTGCGCACGTGCATGCGCGCGCGCGCACACACACACATACACACTCACTCACTCACACCACATACATCCCATCTCTGGCTCCGAGAGTCAGTCTGTGGGCACAGCAAGGGGCTGCTTCTCAGCCTGGCCCCACCTGCCCTTCTATGACAGCACCAAGGGCAGGGGTGGGGCGGGGCCCTCAGCCCCTGAACAAGTCCCTGTGCAAACCGGAGGAGCCATCTGGCATAAGGATGGGGGTGTCACGTTTCCCCATCCCTGGAGTCCCCTCCTCCAGTTCCTGAGGGTGGGAACACTCTCTGCCTACCTGGGGGGCCAGACCCCTGCCAGGGCTGGGCCCTGTGGAACCCGGGCTTGCCCCCCACTCGGCCCTGCCGTGCGACCCCCAGCACTGAAGAGTAGCCAAGTCCGAGGTTGTGGGGACCCTCCACTGGAGAGCAGGAAGGCCTGGGCCCCGAGGCATCTGGGAGAGGTCATCAGCCCCTCTCCTAATCCATCTTCAATATGAAGAGGTTTGGGGCACACTTCCTGTGGAGGGAGCACAGGCCTGGGGAAGTCCCAGCGTGGGCCCTCCCCAAACGTCCATCTTCTGGGCCACAGCCTTCAGCCAGGCATCCAAAAGTCCCAAAGTCCAGGTGGCTGGTCAGAGCCCCTGGGAAGTCCCTGGGGGGCGTCCCCCAGTAGGAGCTGGGTGTCAGACCTGCACAGGCAGCGTCTGGTTCATCTGCAGCCGCATGTCCTGGATACTGCTGAGGATCTTTTTCTGGTGCCCGGCCAGGGTGACCCCGATCCGGAGCAGGTCTCTGTAGAGGGAGCACAAGCAGAGCAGGGTCAGTTCCTTCCCTCTTACCTGCCACCCTGGGCCCGGCACCGAGCCCTCTGTCGCACCCCTCCACATCAGAGGCACTCACTCTGCAGTCATCTGGGCCACCAGGTCAAAGGACGCAAAGCCGGCACTGATGAAGCTCTCCTTGTACCGTCCCATCTTGATGGCGTCTAGCCAGTCACCTACTGTCGTGAAAGTTGTATAATCCGGGACTGTGCGGTCCAGGAGGGGCTGTGACATGCTGTGGGAGAGGAGAGTGAGCTGGTGAGTCTTGTGCACGGGGGAGCGGGGACGGGGCTGCTGGCTTGGCGGCCGCACAGGTACTGACCCAGACTGGGCACTGGCCATGACCTTGAGGCTGGCGGCGTTGCGGATGAGCTTGTCTAGGGTGTTGACGATCTGGGAGAATTTGGGCCTGAGGTTCCGGTCCCTCACCCAGCAGTCCAGCATGAGTTGATGCAGCGCTGTGGGACAGTCCATGGGTGGTGGCAACCGATAATCCTGCTCCACGGCATTGATGACCTGGGCCGAGGGCAGGGAAGCCCAGAGTGAGCCGTCCTCCTGGCCCCCAGCCAGCTCCCACCCACAGGGCCACCTTGGCTCAATCCCACTCACATCTTGGTTGCTCATGTCCCAGTAGGGTCGCTCTCCATAGCTCATGACTTCCCACATGACGATTCCGTAGCTCCACACATCACTGGCAGAGGTGAACTTCCGATAGGCTATGGCCTCCGGTGCGGTCCAGCGGATGGGGATCTTCCCACCCTGGTGCAGGGGGGGCACATGCCCTTCACTCAGTGACTCAAGGCTGCCCCCGAGCCCTGAGCTCCTGCCCAGGTGGCTCTGCCCCTAGCCTCCCTCCCAGCTGCTTCCTGTACCAGGGAGCTGGTGTAGGTGGGATCGGAGGGGTCATCCTCCAGGAAGCGAGAGAGGCCAAAGTCAGAGACTTTGCAGACCAGGTTGCTGTTGACCAGGATGTTGCGGGCAGCCAGGTCTCGGTGCACATAGTTCATCTCAGACAGGTACTTCATGCCGGCAGCAATGCCCCGCAGCATGCCCACCAGCTGGATGACTGTGAACTGCCCATCGTTGAGCTGGAGACAACAAGCAGGCTCGGGGGTGAGGCCATTGCTTCCCGCCCAGCTTGCCCACTCCAGGTCCTCAGAGACACTGCCTCCTGGGTCCTTATTATGTGTGAGGTACCTTACGTACAACACCCCCATCGGTCCCCATTCCCCTTCACAAGCACGGCAGCTGAGACGGGTTGAGTAGCTTTCCTGAGGTCACCCAGGCGGTAGGGACAGAGGCAGGGTATGAACCGGGACAGCTCTGGCTCTGCAGGCCCCACTATTTCCCTCAGATCCTGAATGAGGTCTCTCCCTTGTGGGAGGGGATGGCTGGCCTGGCCTAGCTCTACAGGCAGGGAAGGGGCCTGGGGCTGCCTCTTACCCTCAGGAAGGAGTCCAGGGCGCAGTTCTCCATGAACTCAGTGAGGATCATAACGGGCCTACTTTTCGTGACCACACCCTCCAGCCGGATGATGTTGGGGTGGTCAAACTGCCCCATGATGGAGGCCTCGCTCAGGAAGTCCCGCCGCTGCCTCTCTGTGTAGCCCACCTTCAGTGTCTTGATGGCCACGAACACCTCTCGCCGGCCGGGCTGTTTGAGCCGACCCCGGCACACCTCCCCGAACTCCCCTGCACGATGCAGGGCACGGGTCAGAAGCTATTTCTGGGATCACTGCAGATGCAGCCCACTCCAGCTCCTCGTCCTCACCGTGGCCCTGGGCACTCACCAGCTCCAATCACCTCCTCGATCTTGACGCAGGACACGTCGATCTCCTTGGCGAACTCCCGCACAGCCTCGTTCGGGTCCTCGTAGGTGAAAGGGTCAATATAAACCTTCATTCCAGGAGCAACTGGAGGGAGAAGAGGTGATGTGAGAGGAGGACACATCTTCAGGCCAGGGATGGGAGGGACCCCATCCAGCCTAAACCTCAGGTGCAGGGGACCCTGCCGCACCCCTCCTCAGCAGGAAGCACACTCAGCAAGCTCCTTAACAGTGAGCTCCATATTCTACGTCGCCAATGCCCAACCCTGCCCTGAGACTAGAAGGATTCTTCTGTCTCCTTTCTCCCTCGCCTTTCATCAAGTCCAAGCCTCTCTCTCACTCATTCCCCTCATTCCCACTGCCCTGACCTTGTCCAGGCCTTCAACACTCAGACTATTGCAATAGTCTCCTAGGTGCCTCTGGACTTTTCCCACCAAGCTACCCCACAACAATACATCTATTGTCTTCCTCCACAGCTTCCCATTACCTGCGGCAGAGTCAAGTCCAAACTCTGCCTCTGAGGCCCTCCAAGGGCTGGCTGCACTCCCCAGCCTGGCTTCCCAGCAGCTGTCAAGCCATCCTCTCTCTGCCCCCACAGCTGGCCACCCTCCCACCCCTCCCACTTCCTGAAGACTCCTCCAGCCAGGAATGCTGCCCCTTCCTCTCGAACCCTGACATCCTGCCACCTCCTCCCAGAAGCCTTCCTCTTTGAACTCTTCCTTCCCTTTACCACAGGAACACCCAGCTTAACACTTAATTGTTGTCTAATTGTTTCCTCTGTGCGCATCTTGCCTTCCCATAGGACTGACTGCCTTCGGGCCAGGGGTCACGTGTCACTGACTCTAGGGCCAGCAGGGAGAGAGAAGGGCCTGGGTCCCTGCAGGGAGGTGAGGGTCTGGTTGGAAGCAGGAGGGGGCATCTAGGAATGTTTACAAGGACCGAAGTCATAGGCAGGGAATGGGGCCGCTGGGGCTGGGGGCAGGGAGCGGAGATGGGGATGAGACACTCACTGTACTGCTGCAGCTTCTCTGTGTACTCCGAATCCGAGGCATGGCGCTGCTTCCTGGAGAGCCAGGGGAGGTAGCCCTGAGACAAGTCCTACAGCTCCCTTTGCTCAGGGCACCTCGGGCTCCCATGTGGGCAGACTATGCACAGGGGAGGGCCTGGGCCTGGTCCCATGAGGGCTCGTCACAGCCACCTCTGGGCGCCTGGGCAGGGGCTCATGGGTACAGGACAGGAGGAAGACACCAGACCGACTGTGGTGGGCTTTCCTGAAAGGAGTCTGGGCTCAGGAAGGCTGTGGCTAGGGTGTGGAGAGAGGTGGTGACAGAGGCAGGAGCACCCTAGGGGGCTAAAGGCAGCAGCATTAAGATGGGAGTACCTGAGGCAAACAACAGCGATGACCACGACAGCCACCACGAAGATGAGCCCAGCTGTGGCAGAGCCCACAATGAGGGGAAGCTGTTCCTGCAGCTGTTGGGCACTGGAGCCTGGAGACGGAGGAGGAGCGGCTGAGTGGAGGGACAGGGAGGGTGGCCGGAGCAGGGACAGGCACAGGGTGAGGGGTCTCTACCTCTCTCACTGGTGGTCTCAAACTCAGCCGGGTGGCTGTACTGGCCATAGCCGGCTACGGTGCGGGCGCGGACCTGGACCACGTAGCGGGCATCGGGTCGCAGCCCATCCAGCTGCACAGAGTTCTTCTGGCTGGTCACGGTGGAGGCGATGCCTTCACTCTGCAGTGCCAGGGAGAAGGAGGCCCCTCAGGTTTGCCTCAGGACAACCGGCCCCACCCACACCCAGGCCCACCCTACGCTCCCGAGGGTCCCCAGCACTATCAGGGAGTCACCCCAAGGCCACTCCTGCCTGCTGAGGCTCTGACCTTCTCAAAGTACTTCATCTCGTAGTCCAGGATGACTCCATTGGGCCGCTCCGGGGGTGCCCAGGACAGGGTCAGGCTGCTCCCCGAGCTGCTGTGTAGATGCAGCGTCGGCACTTCCGAAGGGGCTGGGGAAGAGCAGGGTGGGGTCACCACGGGCTCCCCGCACCCTGCATCCTTCCCAAAGACCCAGTTCCCGTGGGACCCCCAGACACGCCAAGTAACTCCTGTCCAAGCTGACCGGGCCTCCTCACCAGCCTGGTTGGTGGTGATGTTCACCGCTGCGTAGCGGGGCGGCAGGGGGCTCTTGCCCGAAACCCCGTTGACCGCCTGCACCTCGAAGGTGTAGCGTGTGTGGGCCAGCAGGTGGCTGATGTGGACCTGGCGGTCTGTCAGGCCCAGCTGCCGGGGCACAAACTCCACGTTGCCATCACAGCGTGAGCAGGTGGAGGGCCCCCCGGCCCCAGGGCCCCCGAGGCACTTCTTGCAGATGACGTTATACAGGAGGTCCTCACGGCCACCCAGGTCCCGGGGCTCACTCCACTCGAGGACCAGTGAGGTCTCGTTCACGTTAGAGATCACACCTCGAGGTGGAGATGGCACCGCTGCAGGGACAGAGAGTGAGAAAGAGGTGTGCTTCGGGCCGGAGGGCCTTCCTTTTGCCCAGGGTGCCTGAACACGCGTCCTGCTTCCACTGTAATAAGCAGAGCACCCTCAGCCCACGTCTTCACCAGGCAGACTCCCTCCATAGGGTTCATCTTAAGGACTCAACATGAGATGTCACCTCCTCCTGGAAGCCTTCCTTGATTCCCACTCCCTCCACCCCCTGCACTCCCGCAATACAATTCTTGGGCAGTCTTCCAGCCTAGCACTTACTGCATTAGATGGTCAGTATCTGTTTTCACACCTGTTTCTCCCTCCTGGTTGTGAGTTCCTTTACCACTGTGACTATCTTACTCTTCTCCACATCCCCTGCACCCAGCACAATTCCTGGCTCACCAAAGACCAGAGCAGGAAGAAACCAGGACACCAGTCTGCCCTAGGTGGGTGAGAGGGTTAGAGAGCAGCCACTGTGTTCAGAGGAGGGAGCCGGGGAGGAGCGGGCCCCAGCCAGTTCCCAATGCCTGGCTAGCAGCTCGAAGGTGCTTGCTAAAGGTCAGCTGAAGGGATGGGGCAGCGGACCTGGGCCGTCCCACCCTCCCTGTGCTGTCCTGAGCGCATCATCTCCCCTCCCGGAGCACCAGTTTCCCATCTGCCAGACGGGGTTATCTGCAGGGACGGCTCAGGCCGGCCTGAGGCTCCTAGCACTCACTGGTGCAGGCGCTGTCGGCGGAGTCCGAGTCTGCGCGGTAGAAGTTATTGTGGCAGGCGCAGATGCTGGCGGCTGGCGAGGCGGCGCGGCTCTGGGGCGGGCAGGGGAGGCAGGGCCCCTCTCCCTGCTTCGCCTTGTAGCTCCCAGGTGGACAGGCTGCGGAGGAGGAGAGGGCGGCCCGTGCTCACTACCGAGCCTCCTCAGCTCTGCGAGAACCTGGCCTGCCCCAGCTCAGGTCTTGGCCCTCCACCCCCTAGACTGTGGGGGCAACGCTGGGATTGGCCAACTGGACTGCACCTCCAGAAGGCCCCTTTGCCCCGTGGAAACCCCACGTCAGCGGATTCCTCCCGCCCCGACCCCCACCCCACCCGGGGGCCTCCGGGACGAAGACATCAGCCCCATCACCTGGACAGCCTGGGCTTGTTGAGGCAGCACCAAGAGAGGAGGAGGAAGACAAGGGGAAGGGAAGAGACCGCCATCGGGCTTCAGCACCCCATATTCTGCTGACACCCCACACCGGAAGCTCTGGGAAACTCACTCCTGAGGACCCTCGAGGCCACCCTGCCACTACCAGGAGCCAGGGACTCCTCAGCCAAAGCTTCCGGGCCAGTGTCTGCCCCGCCCACGGGGAGTGGAGCAGTCAGCAGCTCCTTTCTGCCCGGGGCAGGGTGGGGGCTGTGGAGGGGTGAGAAGGAGGGAAGAAAGCAGGCAGGAAGGCTGGGCTCACCTGGAGGTCAGAGGCCTCAGGGTCTCCACGGGGGAGCTTGTCCCAAAGAGAGCCATGGCCCAGTGCCTGAACATCCCTTCTCCCCACCTCTTCTGCCGTCTATACTCCACCCCTGCAGGTGAGCTCTGTAGACTTATTTAGGGTGGCCATGTGATTTATTATTCAAACTGGAATAGTCTAGAATGAAAGGGGCGCTAGGAATGTTAGGGTAATGGGCCCAGTCCAAGACTGTCCTGGCCACACTGAAGTGTATCGTCAGTCTATCCATATGACCACCTCCGCAAGGGGTCCCTCGGACCACACGCTGCCTAGAGTCAGGCCTGTGTCCTCTCCGGGGTCTCATCTCCCCTCGAAAAGGTGACATTCCATCCCAGCTCTCCGAGCCAGTGGGGGAGGGGCAGAGGCCAGGCCAGCCTGGTTGCTATGGGAACCTGTGTGCATTTCCTGCCAGGGACCTGCAGAGTGTTAGCCCCTCTTCAGGCTGTCAGGCTCATCACCCCCACCCCTTTCTCCATTGGGAAGAGGAAGTCTCAGGCAGGTTCCCATAGAGAAGTGGACAGGGCCCGGGTAAGGCAACTCCAAACCAGATCTCACAGCCAGGTTAATGTAAGAGCCCAGGCTCATCATACCAAGATCCACCTCCCACCCTTTGGGCTACACTGCAAGCCCCAGGGAGGAGACAGGCAGAGGGAATGGAAGACTTGACACCTTGTGTGCCTTGTCCTGTATGCTTACACCCTTGGACTGGGCTTCTTTAGTGCCCAGATACTGCATTCCCTAGGTATGAAACCTTGGGTACAGAACCCAATTTCCTCACTGGCAAAATAGGAAGATGACAGGAATCGACCTTACAAGGTTGTGGTGAGCTCAAACAACAGAGCCCTGGCAAGCCCCACCCCTGCCTCAGGTATAAAATAAGGATGGAACAATCCCTGTCCTGGCCCTGCATCCCAGCGCTCCGCTCTGGAGCCCAGTGGCTGCCCCTTACATGGCATCTGTGCTTAAGGCACCAACCACCGTCCTGAGGCACAGCACGCTCACTTCCGCCTCACGACAACCCTAAGAAGGAATCTCCATCACTGCCCCAGGAAACCAAGGCTCAAAGGGTGAAGTACCCTGCCCAAGTCACAAAGGTAGTAAGTGACAGTCAGGACCCAGGACTCAAGGGATGTGCCCCTGCCCACTGTGCCATGTACCTGCCTCTCAGGGGACAGATACATCCTAAGGCCGAGGGCTAGGCACATGGTGCCCACAGCACTGCCCTCTCAGCACAGGCGCCCATCTACAGCACCCAGGGAGACGTGTACCCTGGAAGCAGTGAAGCTGCCATCTGCCAGCCTCCCGTGTCCTTGCTCAGGTACTCCAGTGTCAAGAAGGATTCTTCATGTCTCTCTCCCTCTTTTTAATTCTCCCTCTTTCTCCTCTCCAGGACTGAGGATGGAACTCAGGGCCTCATGCATGCTAGGCAAATGCCTTACCACTAAGCTACTCTCTCACGATCTTTGTGTCTCTCCGCCTGTTCCCTCCCACCCCCCTGCTTGCATCACATTCTGTGCCCTGGACCTGCTGCCTCCCCTTTCCTCCCTCCACCCACACCTGAGGCCAGACCTCCTAGTCAGACAGGAAGCCTGGCTTGGAAGCAGGAGGTGGCCCTAGCCTGGCCCTCCCCTGCCACCTCCCTCCTGCCAGCCCCACTCACGGCGGCACTGGGACTCCTTGGCAGCTGGCTCATGGCCAGTGGCGCAGGTGCAGGCGCCCACGGGCACCATCCACTCCCCGTCACCATTGCAGTACAGCTTGAGCGGCACCGACAGCTCCACGGCGTTAGCGACGCAGGTGCCGGGAGCAATGACCAGCGAGGTGGCCTCGGCCCCAGTGAGGGTCTCGGGGAAGAGTGCGAAGCCTGCAGTGGTGGATGCACACTTCTTGTAGAAGGCGCGCACGGAGATGAGTGACATGCAGGCGCCCTGGTCCTGGAAGGCCAAGTAGAAGCCGGCCTTGGAAAGCGGCCCGAAGCTGCGCACCTTGGTGTTGACCCGACCGGCATCGAGCCTGGAGAAGCTCTCATCGGGCGCGATGGTGTCCAC